TGAATTAAGTTTAAGTGTCTAATAATTTTTTCTTTTTATATTTGGTGGACATTTGGGCGATATTTTTTTCACACATAATTGCATGACTTAAATAACATGAAATAAATAGAGAAATAAATGAATTTTCACGAATAACACTGATTTATTTACTGCTGACTTTGATTCGTCTTAATGAAATACCCTTTATGTGTGTGTTTGTGCGCGATAAGCGTAGTGGTTATTGTCTTGGAACGAAGGAGAGGCATGCTGTGTTTAAATTCCAGTCGGGATCGTTCCATTCACTCTCGCCCAAATACCATTGCAAAAGGTATGTATCCATTTCTTCTATAATCATAGGGTAAGATTGGACTCTGTAATTTATTTCATTTACAATAAAGTTTATTAGATTAAGGTTATGGACTAGTTATTTAGTTTATCTTTTTGAATCGTAATGCTTACATATGTAAAAACTTAGACATAAATTAATTTATATGTAAAGACAATAATTATAAAATAAATGGCAAGAGGAAAACCTTTTCTGTCAACGCATTTCGTTCATTGATGAAATTCACGGTAAAGATAGAAATGTAATTTTGTAATCTGCTTTTCCTTTTTCGTAGCTAGACTTTATGAATTTAACTGTAGTACTGGATTAACAGCAAGGGCTCACCATTTTACCGCTGAAATGACTACATACAACCGTAACCTCTATGCTAACAGTTTCTTCTCTTTCACATCTCATTTGTGGATCTCTTTCCGCTTCTGTCCAATAAACATTGATCTAGAAAAATTTAAATACAATGTCGATAGTTACATTTGACTTAATTTCTGTTCTTTTATTGTTCCCTCTCTTTAATAACGTTTATCATATTCTTTCATATTCAATAACCACTTGAGACTTAGTGTCTTTAATACCTCGGTTGGGGTGAAATGATTATAAGTGAGTCAGTCGTTCACTGTTGAACCGACTGCTCGGTTGAACTCTCTTCCTACGGACGGGAGGAACCCGAAGGAGGCTACGCCGAAGGTAAACCGGCCCTGAACCTGTTTATACGGGTTCAATGGGCATATTTTTGGCTGAGCCCACGAGCTCGGAATGCCCACGTTAAAAAATTAATGTGCTACATGACACCCTCCTGGTGAGGTGGTGACTCAATATCGTGAAATGATTATAAGAATGTATTTTTAATGTTACGGTGTGAGAAAGTAAGAGAAAATAAACAAATATAAAAGAAAATAAAATGATGAAAATTAAAATTAATAAAGACAGGTAGTAACAGAAAAATAATTTAGGGCGATTTTGATTAAAATATTAATATATATGACTATATAACCAGAAGATGCAGAATTTAGAATAGGAACCTCCGCTTTTTCGCGGGAAAACAGATAGCGTATTGAAAAAGGCCACAAACTTAATAAAAATAATAAACATTTTGACGATAAAAGTTTATTAAGATGAAAGACCAAAGTATTTTTAATTTTTTGTTGGAATATTTTAATTCTTTCTAACACGTTCGAAATTTTGAAAAAAATTTTCTTTTGCTTACGTTTAAGTAATATTTATTACAAATAGATTAATTTAACTTTAAAATTTCTAATTTTACTATAAAATAACGTGTCAGAAATATATATATTTATTTTTTGAAAGAATTTTAAAATAGAAAAATTTGTTTTGTTTACAAATTTCTTAAAATTAAGAAAATGCCCGCTTTTAAGAAAATTTTAAATCGAAATTAAATTTGACATTCGAATCTATATAATTTATATATGAAATGCACCAGAATATTTTGCTTAATGGAAATAATAAATTTAATTATTAAGCTTTCAAGTAAATGCTAAAATGAAATCTTCAAGAAAGGTTTTTCATTTTTAAAATTTAATTTTAAACCTTAGGTATCGAAAATTTATGCCAAAAATGTGGAGGTACCTAATTTAGAATAATATATTCAAGACCTAAAGGAAATGCATTATTTTTCTGATATTGGTCAAACGAAGGCGAAAGAAAAGGGTTAGATAAATAGAGAAGATTATGATAAAATGTTTGCCGATGAATAATGTTCTTCATTACCGGGAAACACGACCTCACTTCCGAGAGTATGTTCATCAAATGGCCTTTCTAGGCCCATATTTTTGCCGAGAAAAACGGTTTTAAAGTGTAATTATGTGTGGAGATGTGTACAGGCAAGCCAAGGAGGGTAGGGAGAAAAGAGAAGGGATTGAGATCTAAGTTGAAGTATGATGATTAGTTTTATCAGCAAAGACGTATTTTAGGAGAACATAAAGTCTTATGGTTTTATTAGGTGCTCCTAATCACCAAGTGACCGGTGCGGAAGTTTGGTCTCCATTTCATGGAGAGAGATTGGTACTACAAAAGATATCTGTTCTGGTTAATATGGAAAACGGAACCAACCATTCATAACATTACATTGAAGTAACATGGTGAAATAGAAACAAATTACTTTCAACCACAATTTCAATCTAAAAGATGTCGTAATATAAATCAGGCGAAAATCGTTGTAAGTGTAGTAATTGCTACTTGCCCGAATATAAATTTACGCCCCTATCTTTTCGGGTTTAAATATCTCCCTTCTAAAAAGAAATACAAATTTCACAAAGCAACATATAAGTGTATACAGCATAAAGGTTTAAAAACAATTTAAAAGAAAACAGTTAACTTAATAAGTAATTAAGTAAGTAATCAGTAATAACAATATTAGTTCACTTCCGTTTAATATAATAAAAGCATACGTAAATTAGCGTCTTTCATAGTTGATCTTTACGCCGTGCATATATTTTAAGTTTAATAACTTAGTAAAACCCTTGTTTTCAACGTAGGACATATAATAATTGGAGACAAAAGGCCCAAGGGGGTTTCCCATACTTACTCCAGAAGTTTGTGTGTATTTGACCGTGTTTTGAAAAATGAAATCATTTTATAAAACATACATACAACAAACTATTTCTTATTTAGCAGTTAAAATATTTAATCCTTGAAAATGGTTAATGTATAGCCGAAAGCCCTCGGATAAAAAGAACATTCGGACATTTTTTATATAATTTATCATCCGAAAAAGAAAAAATTAGATCGCATGAGAAGTTGTATAAAAAACTAAATAAAAGCACCTTATCTGTCGTATTCAATGAAATGTGCATGAAAGAAGGATTACTGCCTAAATACACAAATATTATATATATATATATATATATATATACACATACACAAAAGAATTCTTAGTACTCCCAATATAATTTTTTTTTCAACTATTGTAGAAATAGTACTTAGATAAACAAGTGAATTTGTAGCGATCTAAGACAAAGAAAGAATAATAGGAAAATCATTTGGTATACGCCCCACTTTTAACCAAATGGTCAGTACTAAGTAAGGCCAGAAGTGTCTCCATTCAAGTGATAAACATTTCCCCATAAATAATCATCTCAGTAAAATATTTAACAGAAACACACTAAGTTATAGCTGTACTGATAATCTTGAGAAGATTATAAAGATAATATTAACGAATGTAATTGCAGGAATTCTAACGAATACCCACTGAAAAACCAAATCTCTTGTTTATCTAAGTACTATTTCTACAATAGAAAACCCGACTGTTGAAAAATTTTATATTGGGAGTACTAAGAATTATTTAATAACTAGAAGGTACCAACATATTTTATACTTCACCAATAATACTTATAAGAATAGTACATCTCTTTCTAAATATTTTTTAAATTTAAAAGAAGTTAATAAAACTTCTACGGGGAAATGGAAAGTATTAAAAAGCTAAAACGTGTAGATCTTTGAATGAACCTTATTTCATGTGTTTACATGAGAAAAATAGAAATTATCAAATTTATTTATAAACATTCCTTATTAAATTAAATAACTGTAAATTGTATGCATAGTCTACCTTACAATATGGTTAAGCTTCGAATTTGATTATAACTCTGTATTGATGTCTAGTTAGTAATATAACATTTTATATTGATTACTTTGTATTATTATTATGGATCGTCTTTACTTAACGGTTGCATGTTAATTCCCCAAAGTAGTTTTAAATTTATGATTCGTTTTTTAAAATAAGCCTTTTAATTATCTTTTAGGAAGATTATCGAGCGAGTTAACATTATGCTAGATTATCCCTCTACCCCTTTCCCCATAACTTTCTCTGAAAATTGATCTTCATACTTCTCTAGATATTAAACATTTTCGATGAACTAGTCAAATCCTTTCCATCATCTGTTATCAAGAACTGTGTGTTATTGTGTTAGACAGGAGTTTGTTTGGGAGCGTTAGGATTGTGATTATTTCAAAGTGGAGCTAGATCGTACATCTATCAAATATGTATATATAAATATATACATATATCAAATAATACGTAGCAGCTAGCCGACCCCCCAGATTATATGACTTATTATTATAGAGTCTATAAAAATAACCCATGTAAATGTATACGGATTAATAAGGAAAAGATTTTCAATAATATATTCATATTAAATGGAATACACCTTTTCAGTTAGGCAGTCTTGGAAAGTGGTGGGGTATGACATCCTGATACATGCTGAAAAGGCTGCATTGGTAAAAAAGGGGTCAACAATCACTTCTCTCAGAAGTAACATGGAAAATAGTATCCACTGATTATGATAGAGTTTGTTATTCAATTCCTTGGACCATTGTTAATGTGCTGTACGAAGGAGAATATAGAAACTTTGAATGCCGGCAGTTTTAATAAGAGTTTCCGAAAATTACTCTTTGTTCGATCCGTGGCAGATGGCAAAAGAAAGAAAACTGATAACTTATAGAAACAAATTAGATTTGTCTTGAGTTCGAATCGCTAAATTAAGAAGTGGCTGAGGGAAATCGATGACCAATAAATACTGATGATAAAAGTCGTGATAAAGCGAGAAAGATAAAGACAATAGAAGAGAAAAAAGACGTTTAGCCCGACTTTCTGGACAAGACTCTCGACGTGAACAATTCTTATTGCCCAATACTAGAGAATTATGAGGGTCTAACAAAAATTTACCAAAATATATCAGTTTTCTTGTTCCATATGTTTATTTGACCTGGATGAATTCTTTTAGAAAGAAGAAAGAGATAAAAGATTGAAAAAAAATTACAAATGAGAGAGAAAGAAAGAAAAATAGAAAGAAAAATGAAAAAGAGAGAGAGAGAAAGAGAGAAAAGAGAGAGAGAGAGAAAGAGAAAGAGAAGAAAAGAAAGAAAGAGAGAGAGAGAGAAAAAAAAAAAAAATAAAAATAATGCTTGAAATGAAAAAGAAAATTATAAAGAAAAAAATAAAAGAAATTTTGAAAAAATTAAAGACAGGAATAAAAAGAGAGAAGAGAAAACATTTTATCAAAAATTTTTCTAAAATTTTAGAAATTAAGCATTGGAAAGAAAGATTTTTCCCAAAAAAAAGAAAGAGAAAAAGAGACAAGAAAGAGAGAGAAAATTAGAAAAGAAAATGAAGAAGGAGAGAAGAAGAGAAAAGACAGAAAGGAAAAAAGACAGAAAGGAATTTGTCCTGACAAGAGAAAAGAGAGAGAAAGAGAGAGATTTCTCATCTTCTAAAAAGAGTGAATAGAAAATTGGTATTCTGTATAAAATTTTAGAAGATTGAAGGAACTGAATTTCACTAAAAGAGAAAATACAAATATATATATATATATATATATATATATATCAGGGAGATATATTAAATATCTTTAATGACCAAACAAATTGCTTATGTCAAAAGGTAATTAAGAGAGAAAAAAAAATGTCTTTTAGAAAGAAAAAAATATTTTTCCTATAAATAGAGAGAGAAATAAAGACAAAAAGAGAAGAGAAAGAAAATCATTAGATATATTATTAAAGTGAAATTATAAAAGTCCAAAAAGATCTTTTCATTTTAATTTTCATGAAAAAAGAAAATTAAGAGACACAGAGATGAAGAGAAATAAAAAGATTCTAATTAGTGGAGAGAAGAACAGATATGATACTAGACATTGATAAAAGAGAGGTCAAATGATGATGAAGAGAGATAGAAGAAAACACATGAAATCTTGACTGAAGAGATGAAGACTGTTGATCTTGTTCAACTACTGATCCCACAAGATTATAAACTCTCCCTAAGAAAATATAACAAAAGGTTAAAAAAAAATCTTATATCACTAAAAAACAGGTTTGCTTACTAAATATTGAATAAGCACAAATTTACCTTGTGAAATGAGTTTTCTAATTAAAATAATAAAATTTTTGTAAATTTTTTTAACCTATTTTTATTTTAAACAAAAGAAAGAGTAATTTTTTTTTTTTATAGATCCAAAAGGGTTTCATGTTTTCCCATAAATATAAAAATCAAAAATTTTGAAAGTTTTTTTAAAATTCTAGGCCAGCATTTTTTTTAATAACAAGTATTTTAATTTTTTTAAAAATAAAAAAAATATATTTTTTATAAACATCTAAAATATCTAACTCCATTATATAATAATAAATAATAATAGTAAATCAACCTTTATATAATCAAAAGTGAAAAGAAATCAAAAAAATCAAGAAACCAAAAAATAAAAAAAATAATCATTTTTACCCAAATTCAAAACTTCCAAATTTTAAAAAAACGTATAAATTCTTAGAAAAACCCTCCTGTCTCTTATATTGGGAAAATCCTGAGATAACTGACCAATTTTGAGTGTGGCTGTTTGAAGAAAACAGAGAAATTAAGACGTGATAAATTTTATGGTAAATATTTATTTTACGCATAAATCATGAATTAAAGAAAAAGGTAGGAACGCAAGCCACCAAAGTTAAAATAAAATGATCAGGTATTTTATATTCTAGAAAAAGCCAACTAATCCAAAAAATCCAATCAAATTTCCAGTCATAATTAGGAAAAATCAGGTAAAAAAAAAATTGTTCGGAAAAGATGTTGCTGCTTTTTTGAATGAAAAAAAAAAAGTTTTCCTGAAAAAAATATTTAAAAAAACTTGAAAAAATACAAAAACAAATAGATAGAAATCAAAGAAAGTGGCACCCAAGACAATAAAGCATCTTTTTTTTTATTTTTGGGTCAAGGAAAAAATATTGAAAAAAAAACAAAAAATAAAAACAAAAATAATGGAAGCTCCAAAATATTTAATTTTTGAAAAATTATGTTTTTGTAATACATTATTTACAAAAATTCGAAACTATTGTCCTCAATTTTTTCAATCTGATATTTAATGGTTTCATCAAAAAACAAAAAAAAAATGATCAAACCTTTTGCTAATCGAACTGAACCCTTCATTTCACTCACTGGGGTAGACTGTTCTAGTTTACGTGCCATAAAAAAATGGATGTCAATATCATGTTATCTCCTGTTTTTCCCTCTCCAAGTTCTCCATTGTCTTAACCTCCATTGAACTCAAGAATTTAAATCCTGTCACTGGATCTAACCAATGCTTTTATCAAAAATGCAATGTGTCGTCGAGAACTAAAAAAGTCTACCCCATCAAACTGAGAAGACATATAAAGGGTTTCAGTTCGACATTCCAACCACCTGAAGAAACGGCCGAAAATTTTGTTTAAATATTTTTAAAAAGATATATGGACAATAAATCCGAATAATGTAAATAATGTACATAATAATTCAATCTTTGAAATTTAGACAGAAATTGAAGGATCGGATAAATATGGCAACAACGATGATTATTTTTTATAGTCATAAAATAACTGTTGTGTACATATCTATTTCATCTCAAGAATATAAACAAATACTGAAGGATCGGATAAATATAGCAACAAAGATTTTCCTCTAAATATTTGAATAATGTAAATAGTGTAATAATAAAATATTTCAGAAATATAGACAGGTATTGAAGGATCGGATAAATATGGCAACAAATTTCAAACAATATCATTTTTTAATGTAAATAATTATATTAATTTTTTCATCTCAGAAATATAGACAGATAGTCATGTAATACATCTTGATAGATTTTTCTCCAACATTTCTTTTTAGATTTTTTTTTCCAGAATTACATTTGTTTTTTTTTTATTGCACCGCAACTCATCTGTTTGCCTTCTTACAACGGATATAAAACCTTGCTGTCTCTTTCTATGCTCTGGTCTCAAAAATGCTGTGTTCAAAAAAATAATAATCTGTAACCAAAATATCCTTTACTGTTTTTATGTCAATGTTTAAAAATAGCATTTAATACGCAAATGCGATCACTTTGAACCGGAAAATTAAATGGGGTACAGGTCTAGTTATTGTTCAAATAACAATGCGTTCTTTCATGACAATATCCGCAACAACTAAAGCAGCGGCGAGGAAAAATGGCGGTGTCGAAAAGCATAATCAAGATCGGGGGGTATCTGCTTTATGAATTTAAAGTAGACTTGTTCGCAGCTGCATCAAGTCGCCGAATACGTCAGACCATTGGGAATAATGTTGTGAGTGAATGCACCGCCAGGTATTGGTTACAGATGCTCAATTCGGAAGATCTGTCCTTTTGTGATTTCAACCAAACAGTAAACCAACAGGTTCTCGATGACGAGGCCCTTTAGGTGAAAGATTTATATACCAAACCTATGGCGAGGTTGTTGAATGTTTTCCATATTTTTTAAAGTTCTGATGAACTTTCCTTTTCTCCAGGTCTTGAAGTAATTGGATTATATTGACACACTGTCAGTATGATATCAATCAAAAAAGTGACAGCCTCTTTTTTTTTTCAGAATTCAGCGCATGAATAACTTCACATTTGATCGAATGTTCATCAGGAATGAAACGTAGGCCCTGTAATGTTTGGAATACAAGCGTAATAAGACCTTGGATATCTCCACAATATTACCATCTCTACACTCAGGTTAATCACGCTCTGTATCTTGTGGACTAAACAAGTGGCGCTTGTAAATTTTTACCATCAAAGACCTGTAGTCATTTATCGGTTGGAATTATATTTCAATCATTTAAATGAAACAGAAGGAGTCAAAGATTGTTTAATCAAAAGAGAAAAATAGATCCTTCCCGATATTCCAGGCATTTGATGCGGCTGAGCAGGGATAGATTTTTAAAAGTTTGACTTTGAAAAAAAAAAAATGAAATTAATTATAAAAGTAAATAAATTTGCGCTAAAGATTACCACCTGTCGATTATTATATTTTAACACAAAGTTTTTAGAATATTCAGAATGACCTAAAAGCATTTAAAAAAATTGTTATGTACCGAAAGAGACCATATGAGAAAAACTAAGATACAAATTTAAATATGGCTTGAGGTGAATATGGTTTTTAAATTTTTCTTAAGTTTTATATATATTTTATTGGTATATATATAATATATATATATATAATATAGTGGGCTTTGATAAGTTTTTTTAGCCACCCTTTTATTACAGCAATTTTGGCTTGTAAATGTGTAATAACGTCTTTTTTTTTCAGACAATACCGTGTTAGTATCAAGCTACTCTCATCTATGAACGATAGTTGACTTATATTTTTGCAATGAAAGTTCGTGGAAAAAGGAAATTGGTGAATTTCAACGAGGGCAAATAATAGGATGGCATCAGTGTGGCAAGTCAAATAGAGAAATTGCTAGGTTTTTCCAGGTTAATCATCAAACGGTTAATAATATTGTCAAGAAATTTAATGAAGAAGGCCATTGTCGTGTGGAACAACGTTCAGGAAGACCAAGCATCGTGTCTGAGTGAACGAAAAGGGCGCTGAAGAAGGAAGTCATCAGAAACCGTCGTCAGAGCATCAAAGATGTCGCCAACAGCATGGAAATGTCACCATATGCGGTGAGAAAGACTCTGAAAGAGCTAGGCTATCAAAGAAGAGTTGCAAGAAAGAAGCCCTTGATTTCAGAGGTTAACAGGAACAGGCGTATGGACTGGGCGAGAGAATTCGAGAGCAAAGATTATGAATTTTGGCAGTCTGTAATTTGGTCAGATGAAAGTAAATTCTGCCAATATTCGAATTCGAGACAGGTTTATGTTTGGAGAAATCAGAATGAGACTTGGAACACAACGTCTGCAGGCGACCGTGAAACATTGAAGGATTGGAGTAATAGTGTGGGACGCTGTCTGGTTTGGAGGGAAATCTTAGCTGATTCTTGTGGACGAGCGGTTGAATGGTCAAAAATACTGTCAAATATTAGAGAAAGGACTATTCTCACTATTTGAAACCAATCATAATGACAAGAATGTCTACCTTTTTCAAGAAGATGGAGTGTCATGTCGCAAAATAGCAAAGGTCTGGAAGGAATCAACTCACTACCATGGGTAGCCCAAAGCCCTGACATGAATCCAATATAGCACATTTGGGAGCACATTGCACGATCTCCAAGTTTTCGGTCAAACAAAATCACGCCAGTGTCAAACCTTAAAGAAAT